TCGGTACTACGCTTCACTGCTATTCGCTGCACGCAACAACACCCATCATCTTTATGATTCGTTCTCGCCATTTCTTTAGGTCTGTTCTATAATGCGTCGCGTCGGTGTCGTGGGTCGTGGACCGTAAGAAAGGACCAATTGCGTTTGAATAATTCGGCCACTTAATCAATGTGATTGATCAATTCTCTTTCCATTCAAGATTTTGAACCGATTTCTTGCATTGTGTACACAAAGCCTAATGCTGGATTTAAATCAGCGCGATGACTCGACACGCGACGTGCGATATTCAATGAGCGTGCAACTTTTTCTCGAAAAAGCTCATCGCGCTGGTTTGAATCCAGCATAAGACATATGCGATAAAAAAAATGATCAACATATTCGATTGTTCTTCGATCGAAGAATAGATTATAATTAATCGTCTTTCTTATGCCTTGTGTCCACGATCGGTCCGAAATCTCGGATAGAAAAAGAATTGACTAATTGCGTTTGAATAATGCTGAATTCAAAATGAACCAGCATAATTCGGCCAATGTCATAATTAATTCTTATATTTAAGATTGTCTTAAATAAGCTCATACAGCTATCCTATTGGTTGAAATGTTATCTTAAGACGATCTTAAATATAAGAATTGATTATGAATACCGACCTATGAATGTTCAATTTCTTATGCTGGATTCAGACCAGCGCAAGAAACGCTGTATGCTCCGAGAAAAGCTACGCTCATTGCGATATCGCGCATCGCGTGTCGCGTTATCGCGCTGATCTGAATCCAGCATTATAGTTTCAGGCTTAAACCATCTATTGTAGATCAAGGCTGCATTCGGGGAGCGCGCTATAGCACTATCACATCATTTCATCTTTATTGCTCATTATATGTAAATTAAGGATAGAATGATGTGATAATTCTAATAGCGCGCTTTCCGAACTCAGCCCAAGTCTAAAGGCTAGTATTCATAATCCATTCTTATATTTAAAATTGTCTTAAGTAACCTCATACAGTTATCCTATATTGATTGAAATATTATCTTAAGACGATCTTAAATATAAGAACTGACTATGAATACCGGCCTAAGTTTTCTTGTATGCCCTAATTAGTAGTAAAATTTGGGAGTCAATTGTGTATCTTGAAACAAGATGAAAATTAATAAAAGTGTGGAAATTTACTAGCTTTTAGGAAATCAATTTCAAGTGGGAAAGCATCGATAACGCCTAGTGCATTCGGCTTACAATCTATGTTTATATCTATTTCATTTTAAGTACAATGATTTTAAGTACATACATTAGTTTAGCTGTAAAAAAATTGTATATAAATCACCTGTTCTATAAATCATCAATTTATTATGGATACTGATAGATGTGATTGCACACATACATATAATACTAAGTATTTAAATTTGAATCTCTGGAAAAATAAAGAAAGAGAAGAGCTTGAGTGTGGAAAACTATAAGTAAAGCGATTGAGCCTGTCATATGACAATTAGTATGTACTAGTACAAGTTTTTTACTGCTTGTGCAACTTTTTGTAATTCTTACATTATCTCGCTAAAGTGTCTATCGACCTGGGGGTCAATCATGTAACTTTATGTGAAATTTTTCACTTTTCATTTTTCACTTTTTACTTTTCATTTTTTACACCTTAACATTTCACATGACTTTTCACGTAACATTTCACATAACTTTTCACGTATAGCGATTATATATACAGCTTGGATGCATAAAAAGTGAAATCATGAAACATAGGTTTTATAGCTAATGAAAATTATTTTTTGGTACAGTATTATATACATCTTTTAATAACCAATTGTATATGTATTACGTTCACTTAATCCTAACGCAGTCCTAATCTTCTCTAATTCCGAAGCATATTTATTAATTCCCTAGATTTCTGCCTTTCCGCCAAGGTACATGGCGAAAAAGTCACGTGAAGAATTTTACATTTTCACGTTTGAGAGAGTTACATGATCTCGCAAAATCGTACATGATCGTAAGTTCACATGATACTTTTCACTTTTCACGTTTCCGCCCTAGGGGAAAAATTACATGAGCGACCCTCTGTTTGCGATTATAATACTGCCTGGATATTCTTAAAGAAAGCTTATCTTACAGATATTTATTTTTATTAATTTCGATAGTTGTATATTTTGACAAGGTTTCTTTAAAAATAAATTATTTGTGCGAATAAAACTGACCGCGGGTAAGTAAATGAAAACAATGACCATCGAGAGAAAATTGATATGAGATTAAGCTTTAAACATCTGTGTAGCTCTTTAGTTTTGATATGTATAATTATATTATACACTCATACGCTTGATAAATCATATGCCATCGCACAAAAAATGTAATTTCTTATCAAGTAATAGCCAAAGAGCGCACTCTCTCTTTCTTCTCTCTCTCTTCCCCCTCCCTCCTCTCTCTCTCTCTCTCTCTCTTTGAAATTTCAAAAGAACTCGAAATCGAAGAACCATGTTTAAATATGAAACAGAAATCCAAGAAATATTTTACAAAATTTCTTTAATCCTGTAAGATTATTTTGGGAGCAATATACAATAGTTTTCAATGAAAATAATGAAATATTTGCCTTCTGTTTTTATAAGAAAATAAGGCAGAAGGAGATATAGAAAGCTTTTAAATTAAAAATGTTTAATTAAAATTCAAATCTAGAGAAATGTCAAATCCACACAATTTATATTAGAAAATAGTACAGCTGTTTCCTTGATGACGCATCTTGCTACTCTTTGAAATGGTAAATCCCGGACAACACTGGTCCTGTTGCATCAATAACTGAGAATTGCTAGAATCGCTACCGCCAACTGCCGTCGCCGTTGCCGCGCAGTCGCTATCGTTGATAACTGTCGCAGCCATGTTATCTTTTCGCGTTTGTAGCGTGAAACCCAATGATAGATTCGATTCGCCTTCGGAACTCTGCGAAGACGAAGACGAGGTAATATTGATCTTCACTTCCGGTTTCACATACAAGCTCGCCGATTGATTTTCCGCGCGCGGTGACAAACTATCCCGATGTTGCCGGAAGTGTTCCTCCGTGTCGTTCAGAAGAGAACTAAACATGTCTGACGTATTTCTAATGCTTACCGCGCCCATGGAATTCGAACGACATTCTGCAACAGCACAAATATACTATTAAAATATAGCACAAAATAAACTTGCTTCTTTGTTTTTCCCATTTCTCTTTTTACAAGCTAGTTTTACAAGAAGTTTCTTTCACTAGAGAAACTATGATTTAATTACTTGTGTAACCCGCATAATGACGACACTCTTCAACACGAGACATCTTTTTACATGTATACAAAGCTCTTTCGCAAATTTGCGAAAAAGTGAAATGAAAAAGTACCGAGTTACCTCGTATTTCCACGTTCTTCGTCGGAGAATTCGCGACCGATCGTCGCGCGACATCTTGAAAAGTAATAGGGGAATATATTCTTCTTTCCTCGGAGAAAAATCCCGAGGATCCCGGTGGTGTCGGGGATGACATTTTTGACGAACCTCTACGTCCCGGCAACGCGTCACCCGGAACCGATTTCTCAAACATGCCTGGATTTATCAAATTTATCGCTCCTACCAAGGAAACTCTTTTCTCAAAGTTCCTAGTCAAATGCCATTGAGGAGGTTCCTGTATAGTAATTCCTTTGGTCGCCACGGAACGACGTTCTCGTTTTTCCAACCAATAGGTTTTCATTGTGCCTGACGCATATCGGTGCGATATAAATATGATTATCTTTAAATCGTCTCAATAAAATTTGGAAATTAAACATTCAAAACCGGAAACATCGAAAACATTTTGTAGTGAAATAGATTCAAAATAATCTTACCTTTTCCCTTGACCTCAATTTCGCCGCGTTCTTTCACCTTATATGAGGGGGATAGCAATTCTTGAGTGGATTGAGATATATGTATTTGCATGGCTTGGCTTGTCGCTTCCATACGGGCTGCCGTATTGACGGAATCACCGAAAAGACAGTATCGGGGCATCTTTAAGCCAACGATACCGGCTACAACCGCGCCGCTATGAATACCAACGCGTATCTGCAAATGTTTGCCTACGGAAGTATATATTTCCTTTAATTTAATATATTAGTATATTTGATATACATTGGTATGGCGTGTTACTTTTCTAAAATAATTTGGTAAAAAATATAAAAAGTTATGATAGAATTCTTTTTTCTTTTCGCCTACACACACCACACACACAAAAGTTACACAGCAGTGATTCTATGTCCCGTATTTTAAAAGATTCTATGAACTGGTATTGAGAATCAAATAATAAAATTACAATTTAAACATTTGAAGAATATTTAACAAAATGAATAATAAATAAAATATGTTGTAGGAAAATTTAGAGTAGAATTTGAAGAATGATAAAAAAATTTGAAAAGAAAGTTGACAATTCAACTTTAAAGAATAAACACGTACCTGTCGAACGATCCTTGAGATCGGTTATTGCCTCGACCATGTCGAGCGCCATATCGCATACTCGATCGGCATGGTCATTTTCTTTTACTGGCGCGCCAGAAACTACCATGTAAGCGTCACCGATGGTTTCAACCTTAAAGAAAATGATGACCATTTGTTATCAAAATCATATTTTGTATGAATAAAAGAATACATCAAAAGTAAAAGTATGATTATCGTAACAATTCCTTTTTTTATTTTACAATTGAAATTAAATTAATTATGTAAATTGTGTTGCTGGATAACATTGATATCTTTCCTTTTTAGTGGTACCTAAGAGATACCTTGTAAACTCGATTTCTCTCGGTCAAAGTGTCAAACAGAGAGTACATGGCGTTCAACATGGACACAACTTCCATCGGCGAGATTCTACTGCAGATTTCGGTAAAAGTCACCACATCCGAGAATAAAATTGATACGCTATCGAACATCTGCAAACAGAGATGAAACGAGGATGTTTTAAAACAATTTATTGTTAAAAAGGTTACATACACATATTTTTATGAACTTTAACCTTTTGAATGCAGAGCAGAGTGACATATATACATACTTATAGAACGACGGTCTATCGTTTTTACTGACTGCGTGCAACATCCAAAGGATTAGTAACATTTTGCATAATTTTTTGAGGAATTTTAAAATTAATAATGTAGGAATGAATAATATCCTACATCCTACATCCTATAATATCCTCGATTCTGATATTACATTAAGATACGAGAAGTAGTTATTATTTTATTTTTATTAGAAAATATCATTTTTATTTTAGACAATGCACCATCTCAAACAATGTAACGACAAAGATATTTTTACGAACGTTCCATCTCGGCAACAGCGATAAATAATCTAAACAAATTAAAAAAGATCAAAGTTTGAATTTCTCATTTTATTTTATTAATCCATACCTCGCAAGTATCAATCGGACTCTCGCCATTTCTCAGACGATCCGCGACTTGTTTGGGAATCATTTGGTACAACAACTCATCTGTACGCTTCATCTCCTCGTCCAATTTTCTCATAGATTCCTCTAATTTTTTACTCTTAAGCTGTTCTTGATCTAATGCTAGTTTTAATTCCACGGATTGTTGAGTCCCGGCGAGCATAAGATCTCTGTGAAATCATTAGATGATGCATGATTAGATCATATCGTTCGACATAGATTTAACTGTTAATCATTAAAGATGGAAATCATTACTAATTATTTTTTCAATTTATTTTTTAAATTTATTTTTCGATATACGTATCATACGACGGTACTCTCCCAATAAATCAGAACAACGAGATAACATTAGCGTGATATTGAACAATAATATTCTTTTTCTTCTGATAAATCATCTCGGCTGAAAGATGCTTTTACCGGCTAAAGTCGTGCATCGATAGATCATTTATATAGAGGCCGGTTGCTATTAGAGCATTCAGATCGGGCATGACTGGAGTACCAAGATACATCATCATTTTCCAATTGTCCATATATATCATTTGACCTGAAAAAATGTAATTAACGATGCAGTCTCTTAAATCTTTCGTATCTTTATACCAACTATATCCACGATCACGGTCGTATCGCTTTTTTACATATACTTTTTCACATTTATTTTACACAAAATATTGACTGTTTCATTCCATCGTATAATAAAAATAAGAAAAATTATTTCATAATTTTAGTGAATGAAATGAATAAAACTTTCGACAACGATTTTTTTTTACTAATCAAGTTTCTGAAATCAAGTGACAAAATGAGCGTACCCTTTAGTCGTAAAGTCTTATCTTCTACCATTTCAAGCTCATCACTCAAGAGAATTTCATTCCTGTGTCGATCATTCAATCGTTCCGTAAGCACTGGCTCAACGGTAACCAACTCGAAAATGTTGTTCGTTCTGTTCAATATCTAAATGCAATATTAATTACATTAATCGAAAACGATTTAAAATTTATATCGATATATATAGTTTAGTCTTTGCAAATTTTGAGAATTTTATCTGAGAGAAATCTAAATATATACACAAACCGCGAGTACATGGATTAGACAAGTAGTATTGAACTTTACATTATTGAATTTTCTATGATATTTCTTTTTGCGTTTTCTCTTATATTTATTAAATTTACCGATTGAAATTTAAACGCAATAAGCGGTCGAACCAGATCGAAGAAGTACGTGATTTTCTTGCCAACCAGATCTGGCAGTATGACCATTAATGAATTACCAATGCTCCTAACAACCATATCCGATCTGAAATTTAAATATTCGTTAACTAAATGGATTTTTTATTTATTAGTTGAGATGTGCACGTGCCGCATACGCTCGCGCACGCGGGCGCACACGCGCGCGCGCGCGCGCACGCGCACACATTTTTACACTGAAACGAAATTTTTTAATAATTTTATATAATTTACTCCTCATTTGAATCCTTTTGATTATTAAGATATAAATCGAAATTGTGTAGAATATTGAATTTGATTCGAAATGGATATTTCATCTCAACAAGAGAGTTTTCGTAATAATTAATACACACACCCAAAAACAATGCAGAAGGGAAATATTTCAAAGAGCACGCACGCCCCGATCGGTAGATGCTTCTCCTCACGAGTCATCGCGAGCGACGCTAATGTGAAGGCACGATTGTCAAAGGTAAGTTGAAAAGTCACGTGCACTGTGTCGAAAAGCACTTCTTCACGCACCAGCTCGATTTGCAGTTCTTTGTGATAAAAATGTCGAGCGACTTCTCTTATTTGACCCATCGTATAATAGACGAAACCTCGGCGTTTGCTCCGATAGTGAAGAGTCAACCCTGTGCATACATCATTTTCTAAAATTTCAATTCTAAAACATAATGCATAGACCAAAATGTTGCTTTTTTAAATTCAATTTATAATACAGATTATATTACATGTAAAAGACTTTTTTTTCAAGAATTTTCCATGCAAACTAATTATTACCAACCCTATAACTGACCTTGACGAGTCTCATTTTCACAGATGAACGAAGGCGCTCGCATTCTCGGATAGGAAAATTTGAGGTACTCATGAAGATTGTCTAGACCATTCAAAAAGTCCCTCACGTGTCGTCCGAGAACCGAGAGTACGCGATCGTAACCGTACTGACCGACAAATCCTACAAAATGCACACCCATTTGATCGAAAAACTCTTTTTCCGTCACACCGAGTACCTGAAGAGTGAGAATAAAGAGTAAATTCTTTAATAGTTGTGCTGCAGATAAGGCAATTTATCCGCGTTTTTGTTTTATATATATATATATATATATATATATATATCGTATAGCATTCGATTTATTACACATATATGTATATACACACGCACACACTGTACATATAATAGAAGTTTCGGCGAAATACTGGATAATGGAAATACCCCGGATTTCTTACTTTATTATTTTTTTATTACTTTAGACTTTTAAAAACATTGCACAGTTAATTTTTCAATTTCTAAATATATTCGTGGATACATAAGAGAAGCGATTAAGAAGATGACGCGTCGCAAATATACCTGAATCGCCTTTTTCGCTAATCTTGGTATCAAGTTCTCCGGATAGACTTGATGAACGCTAAAGCTTGGCTGATCCACGGATGCCTGCCTACGAATCTCCTCCCATCTATCCTCGCCGTAAACCTGCCTTATATATTCGGCCAGGTTTTCCAAGATTAAACCGTACATGTTTCTGGACGAGTCCTGCCAAGTCCTGCCAAGTCCATCAAAAACATATAATTTTTCAGATATATAATATAGTCTGTCGCACACAAGAGTCTCGTAATCGAGTCTACGTAATGTTTAATGTGTATCCATTACATCCCCGTTTGCGTTTTTTTGCCAAATTAACAATTTCTTCTTCAGCTCCAGATATGCAAACGACGCGATTATGTGACAGACAGTAAATACGGTATATCTTATGTACAAGCAAAAGCACCTCAAACTATCTTAAATTATCTATCCTTTATTCCTTTATAAAGTTTGCATATCTAATGTCGAACGTCGAGACATTTGGTATATGCGCACGATCCCAAATTAATTTTTAACAATTCTTAACAAACTTTTGTTCGCCGTCATTACCCAGTGTGATTCCTGACCTCGCTCACTAAAAGGATGAGATTTCGTGTATAACGTGAGATCGGTCTCTTGTGAGTCCAACTTGGTATATAGATAAGAGCACGATTATTATTAGATCGTTCATAATTTCGCTCACGTATGTCAGCTCATCGATGACCCTGCGCTGCTGATTTATTTAAGACGTTTCAACAATATCAATAAGTTGGCGGGCTTCAACTACTCGCGGCCCAAAAACGCATCCTTGCACGATGCAAAGTGTTTAAACCTTTCTGGCACAATTTCAATAATTCTAATGACCTCAATTATTCTCTGTGGGATGGGACAAAACGAACCGTAACGATCGCAATAATTTTAATTTTCGAGTTAGGAATACTATTTATTTTCACGTTTGAAAATGAAAAAATAGAAAGGGGGAAAGGGAGAGAGAGAGAGAGCTCTTTTCAATTGTTCGATAAAAAGAATAACGAAAAGAATAACGAAATGATAAGATAATTTAGAAAGGAAAGCGTACGTGTCCTTTCCTTTTCAAAGATGAAATGATATCGTACTTACGAATTGGATTTTTAGTGTCATCTCTCCATCTCACTTTATCTCACTTTATATGCATTAAATAAATGTCCAATTTCAAGCCACACTTGAATATTCTATCGAATCAAAGGAGCCAGAAAGTTTTCGAGACACGAAAAAAATCGGAAATGTCTATTTATTATTTAGGCATATCTGAGTGATGAAAAGGATATATCTGAGTAAATGTTTCGATATGTAATATTGTTTTTTTTATACACGCTCATTTAGGACAAATTAGGGATCATCGTGCGGATGAAATCAGTTTGTTCCACTGATAGGATGCATAGGACAGGTCTCATGGCACTTGTGCATCAGACATCTGCGTTTCTATTTATACGAGATACTTTCGCAAGAACGTCAAGTCACTAGAAAAATATTCTGAAATAAACACTCGCCCGTCCGATCGCATCTACCTGGGTCAAAAAGATTTCCGAGTATACATTCGAGATTTGATGGTGATCCTTTGCGCTTCCGGTCACACACGAGCTGGTGCACGCCTGCACAGGATATCGACATGATCGCAACGTGATCAAGATGAAATGTTCAGCGCGCGCCTGAATATATTTCGTCTTATTTCACAATTCGGCAAATTTTGTTTCTCATTTTATGAATGGCAGAAAGTTACTGGAAAGTTATTTGACATATAATTATATCCGTTGAAAATATCTTTTGTCGAATCTTAGCAAGAATCTTAGCAACGGTGCGGCAATGATTTACTATTCTACAACAGCACATGGTGAAAATAGGCACACGGTCTTCAACGGCTTCAATAGCAAATTCGTGTTTTTCTCTGAATAAATTTATTCCTTTTAGCGATTCATTTCTCTATTCTGTCGAAAAAGATAGATTTATCATTGCTTTTAAGGCACGGTTCTACTTCCACGGTTACTATTTCTACACGGATAAATATTTACCCGTAAAAATATTTATTTTCTTTAGATTTATCAATTTTATAATGTCGAATAATTGATAATTATTAGAGAGCAAGGTTTTATCGCACTTTCGCGTCGGATATACTTTCGTGAAAGCGATGATAGTCATTTAATCGGCGTATAGCCGATATACACGTGTACATGTATAACTGCTTTGTTAACAATTAACAGTTCGATATCACTTGCCTATCACTTGCCTAAACTGGTAAACACCCTCTTGCGGACTTCTCGGATGTCCTTTGCGCAGAAGTTGCGACCCGTTCTTTTACAGAATAGAAGATGCAGCGGGGCTGAAGAATGAAGCGAACCAAGAGTCACCGGTCAGTAGCAAATCACGTTGCACCTCTTGCGCGAAACGCGAAATTGTATGTTTCGTGACACAGTGCCGTGTACGGAATAATCAGGTAGATTCGATGGGCTCTCCCACTGCTTTCCGCAACTTTTCAATTTCGTCTTTCTCCCCACTTATTCCCGCTTTCCTCTTCCATCGTTCCATTTTCTTTGCTGAATCTATTTAGGCTCTGTATAGACGATCTCTTCCCGTCTCCCATTTCCACTCCCTCTTCCTTATACCTGCAATCAGGGCCGGATTTCTCAACGTTTGTAGGATTTCAACGTTGAAACTTTTAGGTCACAAATAAAAGGGAAGTGAAGAATATCTCTAATGGAGATGCAAGTTTGGAATGCAAGTTTGTCCGATAATAGTTTGTGTTAAATTTCATGATTAAACGGACAAACGGATGAGTAGAAGTAGAAGTAGAAGAAAATAGAACGTGGAAAAATTGGCTTTACATATAAACTGTATACAATTTGAAATATTTTTTCCTATTCCTTACTTCAGTTCTCATTTTTGAATTTGTTTTTTTTCTTTATATAAAAGAGAGATAGACAACGCGTATCGTCATCGAAGAAAAATTACGGACGGGTTAGATCTGGCATCTATGATCAAAACTTGATATTTTGCAAATAGCAATTGCAATTATTTTGTCATTTCGTAAGTGAAAAATCGAAGAAAAATATTTAACGTCTATTGTTGAAGATCCGTTCCTGTTCGCAATTTACTTGGTCTTCCCTTATAGCTGTTAGCTAATAAGATCCTTAAGGACTTTGCTTCGCGTGCGAACCGTATTCATTATGGAATATGATTCTAATCGTCCCATCGGTTAACTATTACAGCTAATTAATTAGATTGAGCCACCGGTGCGAGATGACGACGACCTTTCTGTGTTATAACAATCGCAAATTGATATTACGTTTAATTGCCAAGTACAACTTAAGCGGATAGCTCGCTCGAGGTCACTTTACCAGCGAGAAAATCGCTGATAAGCTTCAAGCCACCAAGCTGATTTTCGAAGAATGGAATCAATTTTCTTTTTCACATCTCTACGTGGATCTTCAGATAGGTTCGATACACTTGTTCTACACATTTTTCCCCGTTTCTAAAATTGTTCATTTTTTAAAGCTAATTATAAGCTCTCGAGAGCGATCTCAAATTCATCCTGGCAAAAAGTTTTATTTCTTTTATTTGTCTAATTGCTAATGTAACAAACTTGAGATGAAGAAGCATATCGGGGACAAACACATCGCGCACACGTCGAATTTGAATACAAACTGAATACAAACAAATTTGTATTCAATCGGCAAATTGTTATAAAATCCACATAAAAATAACGAAAGGATTTGCGTCTCGCGCCTCGCCATCGCAATCACAATCAGTTTTGCTGCCTTGCGCTCTTATGCTCTTTCGAATGTGCGAACACTCGAGGACGAGACGTGAGACACGAAACGCACGTTATTAAGCTGCGATTAATACCGTAATATAAGTACGAGAGAGAGAGAGAGAGAGAGAGAGAGAGAGAGAAGAAAGCGAAACTTGGAAAAACTGCGGAGAACGCAGCAAGGGTGTCGCACAACAGGTGAGCCGCGCAAAGCTACACGCGCCTTGCGTCACCCTTACTTCACCCCGTTTCACACTTATTCGCGAAATAGATACGTTGCGTGTGCGAGAGATAGAAACAGCGTCGCGGACTCGAAATCAATCTGCGAGAGAGCGAGAGAGCGACACGTCGGAATACGCGTGTGCGCGCGGCTTTTCTCTCCCTCTCTACGCGTGGCAGAATCGAACGGAGCGAACGGGGCGGATGGAGCTCTCCGCGGATGAAGACACGTACACACGATACATAAGTCTTTCAGACAGAGCTTTATATTTTAATATTTTCAAAGAAATTCATTTAATATTTGATATTCCTTTTAAATAAATCCCCTTAGAAAAGTCAAATCGGTACTAATACCGAAAAAAATATTTGCTCTTTAACGATCAACACCGTTTTATCAAGATTGTTAGAAACAAGCGAATTAAACTTATAATTAAACATTGCCGAATAAGACAATTATTTTTGAATAACTATTTCAACGCTAGATAAAATAGATACGCTATCATCTATATCGAACAAACTTTGCAACGCAATACGAGGAATATACGGAAAGTTTTATGGTTTTATCGCGCATCTCTCAACTCATTTTTCTCAACCCCACATCTTTTCCAAATATTTCGACGATTAATTTTTTAACAACGTAATTCTTTAACAGCGTAAATGTGAACAATCGTCGATTTCCATAATTCGAACGTGCTGATATATTCATCACGTATCTATGAATATTTCTCAGACGTGCAATTGCAAAATCCTTTTTAAGATAAAGTCGCAAAGTATCTAAAACAAACGTCATAAAGAACTCGATATAATAATTATAGCAAAAAATTGGAAAATTGCATTATTCCTCGACTTGTGTAAAATCGATATCATTGAATAATCGATAATAATAAACAATACGAAAATATCGTATCGTGACTTAATTACGAAATAATATTTCTTATTATCTAATTAACTTCTTTTCATGATTTCGCAGTTAGAGACACAACTCCAATGAAACGTATAATCGATATATTGCCCAGGGAAGTAGATAACATCAAAAATGTGCGTATGTGTCCGTCACCCTGACTGGAAGCAAATAAGAAAAATATATTATAATTTCGATTAGACACTATAATGGAATCGCTTATTATATAATCTTCCTTTAAAAAAAGCATCAAAGTTGAAGGTATGTTGATACTCCTTTATCATCTAGATAAAATCTAGATTTCTTCATTTGGGAGATAAGCTAAAAAAATAAGCGATAAGAAAAATTATTAATGAAATTTAACTTTTTAATTCAGTATCAATATCCAATTATGGAAAGTACAAATATATTATAGTATATTTGTCTTTACAAAACATGTATTTACGAATCGTTGTAGTAATTGTCACTATAATAATTCATAGTCCTTTAAGTATTGGTTACTTACTCTGCGTGCAACGTTATAATTTCCATTTTTTACTGAAAGACCATAATTTATCGATCTCGATCTTCTTCTAACAAAACGTAACTTTATGAAATATGTAATATTTGTGTTGAGAAATTATATAAGCTTTTTAAAACGATATTTTTCGACACGGCACTTCGATATAATCCCAAGTCATGTTGTAAATTTTGTAACAATTTATTCTTTTATCTATTAGATTTCCACTGTATGAAATATATTTATTCCCTATTTTCACTTTTATTTATTTATTGTAATTTAATTCTTTGTTTTTTTCGTTTTTCAGATTTTTATATTATCTTGCACTTTTTTTTTATTGTACATATTATTTACATTTATCTTTATGCGCGGTATATAAGTTTAATTAAAATTAAGAATTTTTTATTATTGCACAGGGTATTTCAATGAGCGTTATAATTTTCTCTTTATATCGAAATTCGATTTGGATCTTTCAAACACTCCGGTCTACGATATAAATACATTTCTACATTTTTCACAAAATCAATTTTGCAATAGCAATCTTTTTAATAATTTCATAATATATGTAAGAAAGAATTATAGATGAATGATCAAATGAAATCGTTGCCTCTATCTGCAATTGTTCGCGATCAGCGACGTTACTGACCGTAAATTTGTTGTATTATCGAACACACGATTGGCATTTCCTGCTATTCGACGTCAAGCTTGACGTTACGCGCGTCAATGAGACGATAAATTGTTATCCTTATTGATTACTAATGAGTCGTATTAATCGTCATGCACAATCGCCATCATAGTTTCTCACTTGGATTAAAATTATCCATGACTCTCCTCTTTCTTCTCCCCTCTTTCTTAACCTATTACTTTATATTTACTCATTTTGATAATGTAATTTAACATTTGTTACTTATTGCACTCTATGCTTCCCCCCCCCTCTCTCTCTCTCTCTCTCTCATTATGCATTTTGTTTACAATAGAAAAGTAAGCCGTAAGAAATTGACCAACTATAGTTAAGTTATAGAAGAATAATCGATTTGTTTGGTCAATTCCTTACGATTTAAAGCTTATTTTTCTATCGTAGATAGACGGATAACGAGAAGATCAATCAATTATTTTTTTCACATTTTATTGTGACTGGCTAATTTCTTACGACTTATATTATTCGTATTCGTACTTGGCCGGACAAAAGATCTGATTGAAAAAATCATTATTTTAAAACGTTCTTATTTCGTATAAAGTGCAAAGTGAAAAGTTTTATGAGTCGGCCAGTTAATTATGATCAATTGATTATTTTAATTCCGTGTATTTGGCCGAATTAACCGGATTAAATTATACACAAAATTCTTATCATGGAATCGTTTCTATAAACAATTATGAAAAGTCATTAAAAAGATTTGAGAGTTATCCAGTTAATTATAATTAAATATGTAAGAATCGTGAAATGGACCGAAATATAAATTTAAGACGCCATTGTTTCTAAAGTTCCATCAGGCGCCATCGGCGGTCTCTCTAGTATTCCGAGATTCATCGTTCTTTCTCGATCGATAAGATGGATGAGTGACATGTTTTATTCTTTTGTAAATAACATTACAAAACTCAGTTTTCCACAACGACGTATCAACAACATGTTATTTCATAATTATTTTATTAATAGCATACAACTTATAAATATATATTAATGAAACATTTTTTATTAGAGAATTTTGAATATTTCTTAAAAACTAGAGTAAATTCTTTGTATCATTACATGTATAGTCCTAAGATCATCGCACACAAAATGCATAAAACACGACATAGCTGCATATGGCTGATGCATAAGGCTGATGTCCCATGGCGCGGAAATCCACAGCGGAACGGAACGCGCAAACCAATCACAGCGAAAAAATCAAAAAAAACTCGTTCATTCTGTTCGTTCTTTTATTGTGATTGATTCGCGCGTTCCGTTCCGCTGTGGATTTCCGCGCCATGAAACACCAGCCTAAGACCGTCTGGACCAATGAAAGTCTAGCATAAAGTCGCACAATGATCAACATGACATGCTCATTGGTTCAAATGATGTTATGTATACGCAGCTATGGATGCGATCCATTTGCTGTTACAAATACTTGGAAGTATTTGATTAACCAATCGGAATAAAAATATTATGAATTGACCAATTGAAAAATACTTTAAAGCATTTGTAGCATCAAGTGGATCGCACCCCAGATTGTGCGAAATCTTCGTGAGAGTACGCCTGCCCGATGCGTGGGTGGGTAGTATGTTTTCAAAAATGTAGAAGGAATATGTGAGAGGAGTACTTGTGGCTTGGAGTAGCTGATGGTGACGAGACTGGTAACAACGAAAAAGAGAGACATGCGATAGAGTGAGATAGTACGGAAAATTGTATTGAGTAGAATCAAAAGCGACTCGAAAAGTCCTTTGATATTTATCGGCGAAATGAAAACGGTGAAAATGAACGCGTTGCTGTGGACAGTCGCTGCTTTGAGTGCGTGTATCATTCATGCCTTTAATTTAGAGCCACGAATACCTATTGTTAAAAAGGGCTTACCGGGCTCATATTTTGGTTACTCCGTAGCCGAACATGTAGAAGTTGATAGTCACGTGTTATCCAAATCGACGAGTTGGTGAGCATTACTTTTTACACTTTATATATCTCTCTCTATACATTGTACAAAGACGCATTGTAATTATTATCGAACATATAAAGAACATTAAACGTGTTAATTTTAAGCAACTTACTACAATTTAATAAGAAAAAAAATTACTTTTTCTTAATTTGTTAATCTCTTAATAAATGAACTTGAAATTATTTTAGATTCTATTGCACCAAGAACATCTGCTGTAATCAGGATCCTGGCACATAAAAGAATTACGTTTTCGATTGTGATTGACTAATTAGCTTACTGCTTAAGTTTAATTGCTTAGGTTTTTTATGTGCCATAATCCTTAATATAAAAGTATAATCATAAAAAGTATAATCTTATCTAAAGTTATCCAAAGTTATGAGTAGTCTTATCTAAAAAAAAAAATAAGTAAAATAGTGTCTCTTTGATCTTTCCAAATTTAATATTACGGAATACAAAAATGTTATTTTTTCCCTTTAATGCCTTTAATCTGTGTCTCACTACTTATCGCTGAAAAATTTATAATCATGCTGTTATTATATGTAGGCTACTGATATTAATTTCATGTTATAACTACTTATTTTTGTGCACAAGGCATACATCTAGAAAACTTGGTTTCTCTCTTTCAATAGGATGCTAATTGGTGCACCGTTGGATCAAAATCGACAACCGGGTACAAATAGATCAGGAGCATTATGGCAGTGTCCATTAAGTACATATACAAGGGATTGTACTCAAGTTATTACAGATGGACGGATGAGTATGTCTCATGCTTATGTTATTCCTTTATTCTGTTAATTGTACTATTGTGATAATTAAAAATGTACTTATAATACTGTTTGTAAAAATGTAATAATTTAATTTATAATACTTTATAAATTAAATTATTGTTATGCTCTCCATTAAATTCTGTTTGATGTTTGAATGTTAAAATTGAATCAGGCATACCTTTTTTATAGAAATTGTATAATCTTTACTAGAATCTTTACTTAATCCAATGTATTTATGTATTCATCATTTGATATTTTATTTCATACTCTATATAATAAAATGCTTTTTTGTTGAATCATGTTTTGGTAAACCAGTGGACGATGGTCTATTAAACAGACCATACGAATCGTACGATTCAAGTAAGTGTATAAACTTCAGTAAAAGTCTTGCAGAATGAATTGAATGAAGAGTTTGAAGATTTTTACCAGCGATTTGCCATACAGATTGCATATGTTTTCTAGACGAAAGGATATTACATATATATTTGAAAGATGAGAAAGCATGCGATGTAAAAAATTAATCTCAATTATCCATTAATTATTCTGCATCAAAAATTACTCTTCAAAATAACGAAATGGAATGGAAACAAAATATTCTGTAAAAATATAAGCAATTAACATTATATAATTGTTCATAGCATTTTTATACAGTAGACATGAACTGACATTTCTGCTTTTACTAACATCATTTTCATTTCTCTGTATTATCTTGCAATTACCATAAAGTGTTTTTTTTTATCTATCCAAATTCGATTATGCACGATCAATACATCATGAAGTTAGCACGAAAATAATTTGTAATTATTTGCCCAAATTGTAATAAGATAATAATTTAAAGAAATTGTTACATTTCTTTGCATCTATTATATTTCTTCGAATGTCGTGATTTACTAATTTGTAATTAATAAATAAATTAATTAATAAAAATTAGATTTCCTGCTATTAATTTGTTAATTTATTATTGCTGTCTTGCAAAATTGTTATTTTAATATTATATAGGTATTATAATAAATATATTATTTGATGTGATCTTAATAATATATACTTTTACATTGTTTTTATTCCTTACAGTTTCTTATTTACTGCTTTAATTTTCATATCTTTAAATTTGTTTGTTTTAAGACTGAAACTGAATATTTTATGAATATGAATGAAGACTAAATATTTTATATATATATATATATATATATATATATATACACACACATAATAATGATAAATCATTCGATCTTTACTCTATATGATATGAGACTACGAATGATTACGAATTATAATGTACAATTAAAATATATATAAAATTTATAATTAAATTTAAATTAAAGGAGGATTTTTTAACTTTACACTCAACTTTTTTTTATAATTGTGAACGATTATCGGATCTGTAAAATTTTTTTTAGATTTAGAATCAGATGATTTGATACCACCGGGAAATGATGAAATAAAAGATAATCAATGGTTAGGAGTTACTGTGCGTAGTCAAGGAGTAGGAGGTAAAGTTATGGTAAGTAAAAAGAAAAATTGTGGACAATCATAAAATCAATCATCAATTTCGACTACTCTTATTGCCAGGTATGCGCGCATCGGCATATTGTTAAAACAGCCGATTCACAATGGGGTCAAGGTCAATGTTACATATTATCGCAAGATTTAAAATATGATGATCTAAAGAAACCATGTTCTGGAAAGCCTACTAATAAGTAATATAAGCAAATTGCCTGATTTCTGAATATTTTACTACTTCTAATTAACAATGTCTGTTTCAACAACAAATTTCAACTAACGCTGCATTTTTTGTAAAACTCAATTTTTTCAGAGCCCACGAACAATTTGGTTACTGTCAAGCTGGAACTAGCGGTCTCTTAACTGCTGAAGATCGTGTAGTTATTGGTACTCCAGGTCCTCATACATGGCGAGGGACCCTGTATTTATTCACTATTTCCGATGAATTTTTAAGTAGGGACAATACAGTTTACAATGCGCCGATGCAAGACTTTTCACCTGTAAATAAATATAGCTATCTCGGTATGTAATCGTAAGATAAACCAACTATATTTTCTTGATAAATTTTATTTAAAATATTTTTGTTACAAGCACGTTTTATCGTTTGATGATTGATATGATTTTACAAAATATCGTCCATTTTCTTTTCTTTCAAATTTTGCTATTAAATTGTTGATTTTTTAATTTACATTGATATTACATCATATAAACCTTTATTTAATTTACATTTGATGTTACAGGGATGTCTGTGGCTGTTGGAAATTTCTTTGGCAAGGATTTGGCTTACGCAGCAGGTGCACCCCGTTCTAATGGTACAGGTCAAGTAATTTTGTTTACCAGACGTGATTTTAAACCGGACATGGATGTTGCTCTTATTTTGGATGGCGAACAATTCGCCTCAAGCTATGGATACGAAATCACATCAGCCGACATAAACGGAGACAAGTAAAAGAACACTTGATACATATTTTACTAATATTTATTACGAATTTATCGTATAAATTTTTACCTTGTTCATTTTTTCATATTTTTTTACTTATGTATTTTAACAGTTATCGCGTTTTAGGGTAACTGATTTAATCGTAGCAGCACCATTTTATTTCAATAAAGCAGAAGGTGGAGCTGTCTATATTTATACAATGTTAGATATATGTAGGACTGTTAAAGACGACGAAAAGTGTTCTCCAATCAAGCTCGTTGGTCATGAGGAATCAAGGTTTATCATATTCTCTTATATCAAGTTTTATTTATGATTTTATGCGGGATATTAAAAACCATGGTAATGATACATTAACGATTAATTAGATTTGGATTTGCATTAACAAATTTGGGCGATTTGAATAAGGATGGATTCGAAGATATTGCAATTGGCGCTCCGTATGAGGGAAAAGGGACAGTTTATATATATCTAGGCTCCAAAAATGGTATAATTAAAACACCATCGCAGGTATCAAATTTTTTTCATATTTCTTATTGCTTTAGTTTTTCCATTTATGTAATTTTTTTTATTTATTGCATATCTTGCCTATACTTACCAATACTTCATTTATTTTGTTTATGCAATTTTTCATTTTGTTACGTTGTCATTTAATAGATCATTCATGCCGAAGATATGCCTACGCCATTGAAAACATTTGGTTACTCACTAAGCGGCGGAATTGATATGGACGAAAATGGTTATTCGGATCTGTTGATCGGAGCGTATGAGAATGATGCAGTCGTACTTCTTCGTTCTAAAAAAATAATTGATATATCTACTTATATACGCTATACAAAGAAGGATGGGGTATATCAGGATACAATAGAGCCTATTGATCCCAACAAAATTGGATGTTTAGCCGATCCAGATTCAAACCTTACATGGTAATAGTAATTCTATACGAAATTTAAAACATATAGTAAAAACTTATATATAGGTGTATATGTGTAAAACTCTTTACAGTTTCTCCTTTGAGGCTTGCTGTAAAACAGAATCATTAGCGAAGGAAGACTCTATGCAAAATTTGAGATTAAACTACTACATCGAAGCGGAAACTTATACCGGAACTAAGAAATTCTCAAGGGTTTGGTTTAATGCCAACAATAATGCACGTCCTCATTATGTTAATCGAACAGTTACTTTATATGGCACAAAGCTGGTACACTGCCAAAAGGAGATTGTTTATTTGAAGGTAAAGTTAAAAAATTTCATATGTTGTGTTACATTACTTTTCTAGTATAATCACGATATTTTTGGCATACATATCATATTTTTTATATGTTTATATATTAATATAACATCAAGTATTTATTAATATCAATAATTTCTTTATATGTTTGTAATTTTCAAAAGCTATTAGAAGATTATTAATAGTATTACAATTTTAATATAATTAAATATGGCCACGGGATAATCGTCATGCTAATAACCATTGAATCATATTATGGATTGTTCACGATAATATTATATAATACTAATGTTAATAAGTAAAAGTAGATGAATGATATCATGCTTGTTGGTATTTAGATGATAGTATTCAGATGAAGAAAAAAGAATAAAAATCTATTAGAGATACATTTGAATATTTATATACAAAATTATATAATATTTATATATATAATTTTCTTTGCTTCTTAACTTACTTTTTCTACGAATTTTCTTATTGAATTACAGATTGAATAATTTTATTAAATTCCTATTTGATTTATCAAAATCTTACTTGTGCTCTCTTTGTGAAGATGTTTATTTATTATATTGATATCTAATAGGAAAATACGCGCGACATTCAAACTCCTATTAAATTTCGTCTGAATTATTCATTGATACAAGAAGAACCAGTCATGCCTCTGGAAGGAGCTCCTTTGCCCGATATGAAAAATTATCCAATACTTAATCAACAAGAAGCCGCGCGCGTATTCGAAGCTGTTTTTCAGAAAGACTGTGGAAACAACGATATCTGCGAAAGTGATTTGCAAGTGGTAACCAAGCTGAATTTGTCTGGTAAGTGTTGTTTCTTTCTTGTGTAAAAAATTTAGAATCAAATAATTTTACACACACACACACACACGCATGCGTATGCACATTTACACCTTCATAATTTTAAATATATAATACTCATTGAGAAATAATTCTTCACATCTATATTCAATTCTTAACATCTATATTGTTACCTTTATTCCACTCTCAGTTAGCTCGATCTCTGTAAACTCGACTTTTCATACTGTTCTCCCTACTATTTTACATTTGCCATTAGGCCACATGTGTCTAATAAAAATCTCATATGAATAATTAAAACACGACTTTGATATTTAAATGAAAATAAGAGAGATTTAAAATAGAAACGTTTGCTTTTGTAATAAAATGTATAAGGCTTTACTATAGATATTTTGTATATTTTGTTACGTTAAACAAAATTTATTATACACAAATCAAGTTTATTAATAAAAAAAAGAAAAACTTTAATGAAGAAGACTTTCCAATCAATCTTTTACTTCTTACGTACTAGCTTCCTCCATAAAACCAGACTTTTACGAGCTGCTCTTGGGAGAAAGAGAAGAGATAGTTGTCGAAGTGAATGTGGTAAACATTGGCGAGTCTGCATACGAGGCTCAATTATTTATCATTCACTCACAAAGTTTGAACTATATCGCCAGTAAGAGCAACGATTCTGTGATCTGCAATCTGTACAATGCCACTATGGTATCGTGCTCTATTGGCAATCCGTTCAAAAAAGATAAAACAGTGGACATACAAGTGAGATTCGATCCCAAGGGCCTCGAGGATAACGAGTCGCAATTGAATTTCACGATCTTTGCAAATTCCACATCGAAAGAAATCAAAGAGAAGCAACCTACAGTGCTGCAAGCTACTGTGTTAAAACGCGCCGAACTCTCGATCAAAGGGTAATTACATCTTACATTATATCTTAACGTGTGATCGTCCGTGATAGGATAACATATTACAGCAATTTTCTCTCACAGATCATTGAACGAAGACTAATTTGTTCTAGATTTTAAAGCTTTTTATATTTTTTGTATTGAGAAATTCTGTCATTTTATACACGCGCGCGTACGGATACACACGTACGCACGAGGTGCGTACATGTATGTGCGGAGTATTTACGCACAATTCATTAATTTGCCAAAATTATCTAATTTTAATACATATTTATTATATTATTTTTCGCATACTACGTTGCATTTATCATCGTATAAAAATATAATCAATATGTGCTCATATGACCATTTGATTTAATTAAATAAATTTATTTATATTTTATTACATATTATACTAATATTGAAATATATGTTTATTTTTATAGAAATGCGAAAACTCAATGGGCCTTTTACGGTGGTCCAATAGTTGGAGAATCTGCGATAAAACATCTGAATGAGGTAGGACCAAAAGTGTCACATATTTATGAAGTGTTCAATGAAGGCCCATGGAAAGTCAGTACAGTCGAAGTGCGCATTTCATGGCCTTACGAGGTCGCAAACGACAAAGCGCATGGCAAATGGCTGCTATACATGGAAGAGATGCCGACTATCCAAAGTAATATGAAAAAACAAACAAAAATGCATAAATTTTTTACTCCTCCGATTGCCAATAAACTTATAAAATTTAGATATTAAGATTAATTATTAATTATTCTCGTAAAGTCTCGAATTTCTCAAAATGTTGAGCTCATCTGAATATAATATAAAAGAAATTTTATCGGGAAGCTCAAACTATATCATTTGTAGAACGCTTAAAGATTATTTTTAAAAGAATAACTAAATCAAAATGAGTAAGAGAAAATAAGTATAAACAGAATTAAATAACATAATTGCGATATTAAAAGAGAACAATTTAACAATTTAATATTAATATTAAATTTTAATATTAATATGTCGTCTTTTATCACATAAAATTTTGAATAGTATATCATATTATTAGAATTAAGCAATTAGTTAAACTTGAAACTATTGTAAAATATAATATAAAGTAAGCTTATGATATATTTAACATATATATTTTGTATATTATTAAACATTTATAAATGTTTTAGCTTTAGGAGATGGCGAATGTATATTGCCATCAGGACATGTGGTAAATCCATTAAAACTTCAAGATAATGTCAATTTGGACGATATTGATAGCATTATGCAACCTTTAACTCCGACAAATTTTTTCAATTATACTAACCATATAAGAATAACTCGAGATACGGAGAAAGTTGTAAATACGCGAACGATTATCGACAAGGACGGACATCGTCATCGTGTTGTTGCAATGGTAGGTAATCGTTATTAATGGTAAATCATTTAATTAAACAATTCACAATCAAAGCGTAATCAAGATTTTGAGATTAAATATGGAATTTGTGATTAAATTCCTATACAGAGTGATCCGTTACACATTGCAAAGATAATGATTTCATGATCACATATAAAAATAAACTTGATTTGTGGAATAAAATTATTTTATTCAGCTTTCAGTCTCGAAAAATCGTGGACAAAGGAAATATCTTTCATTAATCTTATTCTTTAAATAGAGTTACGTCATTCTTACATTTTTGAAATCTAAATTTTTTTTCTGTTCCTGCTGAATTCTGCTTATTCTGTATAGGATATAAAATATAAGATATAAGATTATAGAATAGTATAAGAGTTTTAATGAAGAAGTATTAATGGAAGGATCTTACATTACAGAATTGCAAAGCTGGCACAGCAAAATGTTTTGACATTATATGTTATATATATAATTTACAGAGGAAACAAGAAGCCATTATAACAGTTAAAGCGAGGTAATAAAAATTCATTGCGATGATGCCATATCAGAGAAAGAGAGGAGGAAGGGAGAAGAGAGAGAGATATCACAATTTGATTTATTAATTATAATATATAACATAATTTTTTATATTATTACTATTTTAAGATATAAAATTAAAATTCGAAATAGGAAATAGAGTTACATTAATACAAATTTTTAAGCTTCATTTTCTAAGTTATAATAAATTAATACGTTCCAAGTATCTTTATACATAGAACATATTGAGACATGTTTTAAAATCATAATATACATTGATAAACATAACAAATCCTTAAAATATATCCGCCATGAAACATGTACAGCGGACACTAAAGAATTTTGTTGTATGTATATCATCATTCGAATAATACTTTAAAACATAAAAATCTGTTTATATAAATCTGTTTCTCTTTCTCAAACAACGAAATAAAAAGTTCTTTTCAACATTTTTCTATTATTGACTGTTGGCTAATATACAGCCATAAAATATTAATTTCAAAATTGTAAAGCATCTTATAATGTTTAAAGATATAACTTATTTCAGACTTTGGAATTCTACTTTAGTCGAAGACTACCCAAAAGTAGATATGGTTAAAATAGGCTCTAACGCTAGGATAGTGATACCCTCGAACATTGTGATACAACAAGAAAACTTAAAGGATGATTACGCAATTGTAAGTGTACTTTTATATGTACGATATCTATTCGGAGACTTACGTTTGGTATATCATATGACTGTTGTATTATAAAAATCAATTGATAACTGTATTCCTAAGTAAGATAAGAAAATTCCAATTTTACATTTTTACAAATTTAGAAAACACATATATAAGAAACATTCAACACGTAGGATAAAAATTATTTTACAATTATTTCATATTATACAGGCTGAGACAATCGCTTATCCAGATCTATTGGATCAACAAGAAGCTGAGCCCGTCCCAGTGTGGATATATATAGTGGCCGCAGTAGCGGGTATGTTACTCTTTATTCTCCTTACATTATTATTGAGGAAAGTAGGCTTCTTCAAAAGGCGACGGCCGGATCCAACTTTATCTGGAAATCTCGAAAAGCACAGAGATGATAATCCTGAAAATGAAGCATTATTTAAACATTAAGCATAAAATCGAAATATATACATATAGAAACATAATAAATTGTCATGATTACTTAAGACTAAGTACTTATGATGAAAAGAGAGAAAAAAGATATAACATAAATATTTATGCACGCGATTCATTTCTGATTATATACTGCCCAAGTTTAAAATGCATATTTTGTATGCACAAGTAAATACAAGATTGATAAAATAGTTTGTGATATTGTTATATTAAATATACTTTATGCGCATGTGCATAAATCTTTCTCGAAGACGTATTCAAATTATATGTATATATGCACAAGCGTCGTAAATGTCTCAACATTTATTGTTCTTTAGAAAGAAAAATGCGTATTGTATTTGGACAGTTACAAATCATAACTCTCTATAACAAAGAATTAGGCAACACACGAAGCAATAATTGAAAAATAGCATCAGATTTCATATTGTATCTTTATATAAAAAAAAATGAGATTGTAAATTCCGAGAATAATGAATATATTCCGCGTTAAATAAGTTTATGAAGGCATATTTTTGTAATTTTTTCATATATTGTATATTGTAAATATATTTTAGAAAATATATAGTAAATATATTTTTTCATATATTGTAAAAATATTTTAGGAAACAATTCTTATTTTGAATAAATAAATAAACAAATATAATACAAACATGTTACATCAAAAAATATTCGATAATTGTTGAGACATTTAACATCTAATATGCAATGAAATATCCATTTTTTAATCGAATAGGGGATATATAACTATTACCAGTTTATTCATATTTTATTCGTATCATTATATAAACATGTGTTTTAATATGATGAAAGAAATGAATTAAATTTTTAATAAAAATTTTTCTCGTCGCTGATATTATATTAATTTCTTTGTATATGTTTATATATATGATACGTTCACACTTATTTTATTTGCAAAGGACAATTTTTTTTCTTACAATGATTTAAACGTCTATAAATTATTAAAATGGCAGCATAAAATATACAACGATCTCGCATACATTCAAATCCATTGCGATAGTTTAAATGCATTACTATGTTTTCACAATAGGACTATTTTTCATTTTATTATATTACATTTTTTTAAATATTTACGTGAAATATTTATTCAATGAATACATTCTATCGATTATATATTAAGATTAATTATTGAATATTCGACAAAACTTCAAACTTCAGCAAAGGTATATGGCAAAAGAAATACAAAATATATTAAACTTGAAATAATGAATAACTATTAAATATTTTTTGAGATATTAATAGAAATTTAAATTCAGAATTTCGTATATTTAACTATTATTTTTCGAAAATTAAAACTCTAATGTATGCAATTAATGCGAGTACTTGAGCATTTGTTATAAATATGTAATCGAGAGATATGAGTTACCATATAAATACTTAATACTTTATAAATTTTTATCATAATTTTATAAAAATCAAAAATCATTCCGCTGCACATGTGAGTTTTGATGTATTATATAGAAAATAAGATGAAAAGAAAAAATTTCGCACACATATAATGTCGTATTTATCATATTTATATTTAATGGACTGTTAAATATGCAAATTTTTTGTACAAGTTAATAATATTACGATCTTTCTACCAATGTTTGTTATATTGTCCTAAAAAAGAAAATAAAAGTATAACAAAATTTTATATATATAATTATAAATAAAACATTTTAATTATTTAGTAGTAGTAATTTCTTACTATTACTTATACAATTTTTTACAATATTGTTACATGCGATAAATTTTATATTCGTATATTTTAACTAATAGACTCGACATATATATTTTAATGCATTTTATTAGTAATGATGAAATAAAATTTTATTAGTCTAAAACATTAGTCAAAAGCATTATTTATATTTCTTATATACCTATGTTTTAAATGAATATATTTTAAATGAATATTTAAATGAATATTTTAATGAATATATTCATTACAGTAATTTTACGTAGCATATATGCTAGTATAAAGAAAAACTTAATGTGCGTATGTGTACACACCACTATTTTTTTCTTTTAATTTAATCTAATTTTTCTTTTAATTTTGAAATTTGAAAATAATAACGAAAGGATATTTCAAAATTTGAAACAACGAAATTTGGTTTATCGAAGAGATATATTTATTATAGTTTTCAATTCGAATCAAGTAATGTAAGTCTACTATTTATTTTTTATTCCAAGAAACAGTTTTCGCTTAAGACTTATACTTATTTATTTAAAATTATTTTTACTATAACATTTTGATTCGGAACTTCTGACGTATTCTGTATTAAAACTTGTAGTTATATTTCTTTACCTTATCTCGAATATTCATCCAAGAAGTATGTAAATTAGCGCTATGTACTAGCATTACGAAAAAATTTCATTGCCTATGACCATCATCGATATCTAGAAATGACATATTGCGATATGTTTTCAGATAGTAGCAATCTATAATCATAAATCTGTAAAATAAAAATACAATAAAAGATAAAAATAAGAATACAATATATCTCATAATTACATTATAAACGGCCATAAAATAAAATTTAATTCGAACTATAAGTTTTATACACACGCACACGCGCGCGCGCGCGCGCGCGCCTAATTCAATTATATAACGTAAAATTATATTTACGCATATAAAAATTATAATTGCTGCATACACAAAAATTACCTATACAATAATATCGTTAAAGGAACCGTACTAGCGTGCCACAAGGAATGAGCATCAAATATCCAAAAAATAGGAGGAAAATCTGCCAATTCGAGTGTAGTCACAAAAATGGTCAATATATTGAACCAAGCAAGTAAGTACACGTGAGGCAACTTGTCGCGGCTAAAATACCACCACAATGTCGTTATCGCGACAGTTATCAATCCTAAAATCATAAATGGTTCAGTTTTATGATTATTTTCCTTTAAAGATATACAGAAGTTATGCTATCGCTTACCTATCGCTACATTAAATACCATATTATAACCATAGTTAATTCTGCCTGACCACAAATGCGATAAGTGTATGCACAAAATGCTTACATATCCGCAAGTTATTATAATAAATGCTTTATTCTTTCTATTCATTATCCTAAATAAAATTTAAATATTAAACTTAATATTAATAAAGATTAAATTAATATTAATACTTCAACATTTTATCAATATATTATAAAATTAATTTTATTAAATAAAATAAATACTTAATTCTATTTTAAATACTCCAATACATTAATTATCAAGGACGAGACGCGCGTTACCTTAAGAGCATGCAGTATAAAAGTGTAAGTACCATACTAAATGCGCATGAATAATCCATAGCTTCTGTAAATGGCCTGTCTCGTGAATGGAATATGATTGACCAAAACCATCCATTTAGGCATATCTACAGTAAAATTATACTTTATTAAACAGCTCATTCAAAGATCGCTGAAGACATACAAAGATAAAATATAAATTAAATGACAAATGACAATAAATACTATAGTAAATAAAAAGCAATTTACTAGAGAAAATGCATCAATTATGAGAGAAAATATCAAAGATTTATTTTTTTTTTTTACATACGAATTTATTGGTCAATTTGGAGCAAATTTTTTTAAACGAAAACATGTTAATAACGATAATTAATAAATTGTCAGTGATTGAAAATAAAAAATTTTCTAGAAAATTTTACAGATAAAAATAGATATTAAACGCTATTTTTATTAAATTTGAAAGAAATTTAATTCAAATAGATTTATAATTGGTGTAAATTAATAACTGAATAAATGACATGATGTTAAAAAAAATGAAATTTTATATTTATAATGATTTTTATCATTTCAGTTGGAAGAAATTTTAATTTACAATGCCAAATTGATAAAACTATTTTGCCAAATTTAGTAATCTTACATGATTACATGTAAGATGTAATCATGTAAGATTAAAAATAATTTAGATTACAAATATTATGAAAATATTAGACTTACGATACTGAAATATATCCAAGTGTAAAACATAGGATTAGCTCGATCTATCTTTCTTCTAAATTTCCGATACATTATCCAATGTGCATAAAAATTTAATATAGAAAATAAAACTGAAGCAGGTTCTTGACATCCAAGCAGGCGAATGAATGGCCACTATGAAAATAAAAATAATTTATGCTCTCTTGTGAATAAAAATATAAATAGTTTTGATGTTTAAAGTAATTACACATATGTATAAGATAATATACGTAGATATTGATACAAACATACATAAATAATATACTGTAACAAAGTCATGTAAAACTATTATATTTAGCTTACTTTTCCATGAAATTGTGGTATCTTCAAACCCTGAGATACAAAATAATCAACAGTCCTCCACATACAAATATAACTGCAATCTTCCTTGCAGGACCAATTCAGCAAAATTAGCGATAAGGAAGGCTGTTGCTTAAAACTTGTATCTACAATATTATTCTACAATATAATATATTATTGTATTCTACAATATAATTTATCAAACATTAAATCTCTATAATTAAGAAATGATAATTTTATAAATATATATTCTGTTCAATCAAAAAATATAAATGGAAAAAATCATAGCTTGATCATTACCATCTTTGCAGTTATTATTGCGACACAGCGTTAAACATTGATGATATATCTGCGATTTATCACCTATCGAACCAATCGTATTTCCCACGAAACAAGTTTGAAGAATGCACAGTAAAGCCCATATCGACTTTGACATATCGTAACTCGATGTCAAACTAAAAAATATAACCTGCTAAAAAATATAACCTAAGCAAACTGGCGGCAAACAGAATCTCCGTAAACCGCTGTAAACTCTTCGTTATCGCATTACAAGTGCATTTAAAAAATATAAACTGCACTACTACTACTACTATTATTCCTTTTTTTATGGCCGTGGCTTCCTTGTGGGGTTAGCGATGCAACATAGGCCACGATTTAAAAATAAATTGTAAAGGCCATGGCATACGGTAGGAGTGACATTCGTTTGATCACGTTCCGATTGATTACTAGCCACTCGCAGGGGCCGATGCCTAGAATTTTTCCACTGTTCAAGCACTGTGAGTGGCTAGTGGTCAATTGGGACGTGGTCAAACGGATATCAGCCCATACATAGGCTATGTAACATCAATGTAACATTACAAATGCTTCGAAGCGTTTGATTGTCCAATCAAAACAAAGAATTTTACTAATGCACCAATAAAAAATGCTTCAAAGCATTTGTAGTAAGCTCTTGTATCCATAGTATACTGGAGTGAGCTATCCCTATATTAAATTGACTGCGTTCAGTGAACACAACAATTGGACAACTGAACGCTCTTTGAGCATAAAGTGATCAGCGAACAGTTTCCTGATCTAAACATTTATTGACATGCGCAATATGTATGTACACAAAAACACAACCTTTATTTAAAAATGGTATATTCCACATTATTGTGTCGTGCCATTCGTAGATTCACAGAAATCACAGTTCTTTCTTTTAATTTAATAATGGCTGCTAATAATTTCATACTTCTGGCTTTGCTAGATGATAATATTATAAAGAAATATAATAAGATATTTTTAAGAAGATACAAGATGAATTATTAAATAATTTTAATACAAGACGTCGTATACATTGGAAAAATAAAAATTATTATGAAAGAATAATTCCATTGTATAATAATATTGTATTTAAAGAACATTTTAGCATGTCAAGAATAGTTATAGAGGTAAGTCTTACATGATATAAAGTGATAAAAATTCTCCATTTTCATAATAAAGTGTATATCCCACTAAGCTTACAACACGTTGTACTCACTGAACGTATTTGAAATCGTTCAGAAAAATGGCGTCCGCTCACTGAATGTTGAGAATACGCATTGATCAGGCGCGTTCAGTGAACATTTCGCCAACAGTTGCACAACTGTTGCGTTCGCTGAACGCACCCATTATAGAAAACCGCGGCCCAGCGGAGAGAAAAGGACGAGCATATTAAAGTTGGAACATTTGGGCGTTTTCCAACAAGAGACACAGTTGACACAATGTATGTATGTATGTATGTATGTATGTATGTATGTATGTATGTATGTATGTATGTATGTATGTATGTATGTATGTATGTATGTATGTATGTATGTATGTATGTATGTATGTATGTATGTATGTATGTATGTATGCATGCATGCATGTATGTATGTATGTATGTATGATGTATGTATGTATGTATATATGATGCATGTATGTATGTATGTATGATGTATGTATGTATGTATGCTGTGATGTACAACGTACGTACGTAACACACACACACACATTAAATATACATACACATGTATATACATAATCCAACAGTGCATTGGTGCGTTCAAGAAACAAGGACGCGTCATCACGCGTCATGTTATGCGTCATCTTTGACACAAAACGTGAAATGTGAAATAGCGACTAATGATAGCGAATGACGGGAATCAAGGAGGTAGGCAGTGGATACCTTGAGAAACGTGAAGCAAAACGGGAAAGGGAAGAATATACCATTCGCAGCCATTTAGAGATAAATATGCATTTGCGAATATCAAAGAGGCGCATAGAGACGTGATAGACGAATACGGAGGGAGTTGATAGCTGTCAGACGCAGGGAAAGAGGCAAACACCTGTTGCCGCTAAGCTCGGCAGGCGTTTGCTATGGCTCACCTGCTCAAAAATCTTACCAACAGCATCTGGCACGCATTTCATGCACTACAAACTGACGCCATCAACACAGTCGCCAAGTCCAAGTTAAAGGTAAAACCTGGAAAAATTCAAAATTTAAAATTCAAAATCATCGCCAAACCTGAAATCGTCTAAGAAGCTTATAACTGGCCTATAATTATTACTGGCAAATATAGAACAATCTGTCGACTCATCACACATGCATGCATATTTCATATTAATTAATATTCTCTACAATTAATATTAATCTAGTCTATTAATATTAATCGATTGATGTATATCGTGCAAAGTAACATTTTCTCTTCTTTTTATATTTGATATTTATCCACAGGTATTGACAGCCAACATTGGTACATTAATGGATCTGTATGGTGTAGAGAAAGGCCTGGAGCATTACCGAAGTACACAGAACTTAACATTCGATCAATACATTTACTATTTACAGAAAGAAGTAAGATACTCAAAAACACACAAGTGCTATGAATCATTCAAACAAAACAAATGCAAATGTTAATTTTCTTATAACAGAAATTATAGAATTTTTGATAGACATGCGAATAAGATATTTTAATCTATTTTGCTTAAGCTTAATTATCATATACTAACAAATATTCAATTACAGCAAATAAAATGAAACTTGATAAGATGAAATATCAAGATGAGATGGAATGTATAGCTATTTTTAATACAAAAGATTGTTTATACAAGATATGCAATGTGCTTTTACTCTACTTGCTTGTTTTCTAACACTTTATCAAGTAGCTTCAACATATTTTCGAAATTTTGTTTCAAATGATGTCTTCTTCTTTTGCACTGAGACCATTTGTTTCGTCCTTACTCATTTAGTCTCGGTGTAGTAACACGTATCATGTATTTCAGGTATTCTCTTCTATAACTGATGCTACTTCTGTACAAACGTTGAAAACGCTGGAAGAAGGGATAGATGAAGTCTGCTGGTTAATTTGTAAAAAGATATACCTGGAGAGATCCCATCCAGTCTTTGAAGATAACAGTGTTTACCAGTTGTTCAGAATTTATTGTCTGCTAGCTGAGACAGAATTGGATGCCACAGATTCTTATGTGGTTAGCAGTTGCTTCTATATAAACCAATATGTTTTGTGATTAGATCAACGGATCACTTTTGTAATATAGGTAATAATGCATGGCGATGAAGTGGCACAAATTGCTTCCCACCTGGTAATGTCTTTGGGTCTACAATGGGATGCGGTGGATTTTTCGGCTCTATCAGCGGCTATCGGAATGTTTAGGTAATTTTGAAGTTGTTAGAAGTAAATGTAAAAATGTAGGAATGCAAATGTGTTTATAAGAAAAATTTGTCGAAAAGGTTCCCCACGTTTTTGGCGGTTCTGGAATCCAAGTATAGTGGCGGTAACGCTTTGGACATTATCGCATTGACAGAAGCAATTGATGATCTCTACCAGATTTACGTAGAGAATGTAGTGAAAAAAGTAAATCACAAAGTTCTGCTTCATTTTGCTAATAAATAAAAAAGAAATTGTTTAAACAGGTCACCTTTGATCTCTGCATGTAATGCTATTTAACATATTTCAATGTACTAACTATTGACGTAGCGTGCGTGTATTATTACAATGGAATAATTATTTTTTATAAATATATATTAACAATTGCAGGGTTACTTGATGAAGAAAGGATTCCTATTGCCAACGTTGCGATACTTTTGGTTCGTGCTGCGCCCGGGCGAATTGGCATATTACAAAGACCCTCAACAAAAAGAGCCATCCGGATTAATATTACTAAATGCCAATTGCTGGGCCGATGCTCTCACAAACAGTGGAAAACCCGATAGAAGATTCGTGCTTAGCACCCCTGAACATAGATGCATAGAATTAGTGGCAGAGGATCATAAAGGCAGGTTACAGTGGCTCGCGGCATTGCAAACGGCTATTCAACATTCCGGCGAGAAGATTGGTTATCAAAGGAGTTTGGCTAATCAAAGAAGATCATTGCGACAAGTAAAATTAATAAAAACAGAAAATTACAATATACATTATTACAATGTATTACAGTATTTTATTTATAATAGAGAAAATAATTTCTCTGTTATAAATAAGTTAAAATTAATAATATAGTAGAGATAACAATTTCAGTTAAAATTTATTTAATAAATACATTGTTCTATCAGGCTACTAAACAGGAAAAAGAAGAGACCAAGTTGGAGCTTCAGTATGAGAGGCAAGCTAGAATCGCCGCCGAAATACAAGCTCGAAAACTAGAAGCTCTATCAAAAGAGGAAGGTGCTAAAGTTCAACAATTGGAAGATGTTAAACAGAAGCTAGAACTCCTACTACAAGAGGAGAAACAGGCTCTACGTGACGAGGAAATAGGTAACAGATTATTGCATTTAATTTACATCGATCTAAGTTTTTATGTAAGATTGTATAATTTAGATATCTTACACACACACACACACACACACACACACACACACACACACACACACATATATATATATATATAT